CTGAAGTTCTTGAGATCAGTACTATGTCATCGGCAAATCTTAGGTGATTTAGATATCTTCCATCAATTTTGATTCCTGTGTCATGCCAATCGCAGTTACGTATTGTAGACTCCAGGCAAGCAGAGAATAGATTCGGGGAAATGGGGTCTCCTTGGCGGACTCCTTTTTCCACAGTCACCTTCTAATACGAAAGAACGGTCGAAATATTGTGCTACATCCAGAGTAGCATTCACTTAAGATTTTCGTATAACGGAGTTCGACGCCTTGTTCATTGAGAGCTGACCATATCTTTTCTCGCTCTACTGAATCGAATGCTTTTCGATAGTCAATGAACGTTAGTATCAGTGGTTCGTGATATTCTCGAGCAGCTTCGATAATTCTACAGCAGGTGATAATGTGATCCAAAGTGCTGAACTTTCGTCGAAATCCTGCCTGTTCAATTGGCTGAGCTTCGTCTAGTTTCTTTCTAACTCGAGCAAGAAGGCATCGCGTAAACACTTTGTATATCACTGGTAGGAGCGTGATTGGTCGATAGTTCTCCAAGTCTTCCTTATCTCCTTTTTTAAAGAGCAGAATTGTTTTGGATTTTCTCCATGCGGCCGGAACTTCGCATTCTTGAACGTAACGAGTGAAACGTTGAGCTAAAGCACAATAAACTTTATGACCGCATGCTTGTAAGGCCTCCAAGGATAAAACCATCAGCTCCTGGAGCTCTTCCTCTCGGCATTGTTTCGATTGCGCAACGAACTTCTGATGGTAAAAACGATGGCACCGTTTCGCCGATTGGTAACTGTTCAGTGGAGGTGCCGTGATCTGATTTGAAAAGGTTTGAATAGAAATTCGTCAGTATCGATTCCATTTGTGGCCGAGACGTAGTTCTTAATCCATCGGGACCTTTCAGACAAGAAATCGTTAGGCGGTATTGTGCCATCTCTCTCTTTGTTTTCTTCATGCTACGTTTGCTGGATGCGGCTTCCAATAGACGGCAGCGGTAGAAATTCCTGTGGTCTTCAGCGAGTTTTTGTCTGCAGAGCCGATTAAGCAATGTGTATTCAACATGATTTTGATGTCGGTCCATTTGTCTCCTCTGCGCTAGAAGATTCCGGGTGTTATCCGATATTCTACGGGAGTTGTGGTTGGGGGCCATGATGCGCGATTGTGAAGCAAGCGTGGAGATTGTGTTTAGTATATGGTCATAGTCCTCATTTATGTTGTTTTTCATGTCCAAGGATACGTCGTCTACCATCGCCTTTAGCGCATCTGTATCAAGAATAGTCGCCCGCGGTTGTCTTGATCGTATACGTGTCAGGCGCACATGACTTCGTTCGAAGTGCAGTCTTGCGCGTAGAAGTCGATGATCGCTTCCGGTATTGAATGATGGGACTACTCCAACATCTGTGATGGCCCTTCTGCTGCATAGGATATGGTCGAGTTCGTGGTAATGCTGCCCATTCGGGGACTCATATGTCCATCTTTTCCTTACTGCTTTAACGAACTGACTATTCCCGTGATACATATGGTATATCTCGCAGAAGTTTGCCAGCCTTTCTCCAGCTGCGTTTCGTTGTTCTGCACTGTGTGGTCCAATGAAATGTTCTTCTGGTCTTCTTGACCCAACTCGTGCATTAAAGTCTCCAGATACCACCACATAACTGCTTTTCTGTGATCGAACTAGCTCGCCAAGGTCATCGTAAAAGTCCTCATGTTGATCTTCGTTACTGTCACTCGTTGGGGCGTACACCTGAATGATAGAGACGCTGATGTCCTTCGTTAGAGTTGCGGTCAAGATTCCGAATCGATGACTGTGAAACGTGACACTCGTGACATTTTTTGTGAATCCAGGTGCCACTATAAATCCGACTCCTCCTGATGTCGTTCCTGATTCTCTAGCTCCGAGAAAGACAGCGGTTCCATCGCTCCATATGCACGTCAAGGGCTCTTTCCGCTTCGTTTCGCTCAGCCCGATCACATGATATGAAATTCGTTGCGTTTCTTCAATTAAGGTTGAGAGCTGAATGGCCGTACTGACGCTCCTGCAATTGTAGGTGCATGTAATCAGATGGCTCATTCTTGTCCTTTTCCTACGGTAGCCTACGGCCCTGAGATTTCTTCGCCTTCGACTGTGTGCTGATCCAGCGCTACCGGACTGGGCAGGAACAGTCTGCAGGGGACTAAGGCGAGTGGTAGAAGTGGTCGTAGCATTTTCGTCTCACAGGATAGCCTTGCTGGGGCGTTCCTGTCGCTCAAGGAAGGCGCCGTCCTACCATGAGCTTGAGCACTTCGGGTTCTTTAGTCACGAGAGCCGGTCAGAAGGTTCGGCGGGACCTTACCCTTGCGGGGTTTCCGGCTCGCCTCAAGCCCGTACACCGACAGTAGAACTGTCGAGGTATTCATAATTATGAAAGTTATATATTCATATTATAGTTCTGTATAATACTATAGATATATGTATTGTATATATTTCATATAAATATGATATACTTATAATATTGTATTCATATATATATATTACGAAATCATCTCCTTTTTTCTCTTTTTTTTTTACAGAAATTTTCTTTCCCGCGGAGACGACACCTGTATTTATTATCGTTGGAATTCTAGATAAAAAGAGCAATACTAAAAGAAGTTTCAATCAAAAGAGTTCTGAATTTTTGAACTTGCACCCGAAAACAAGCTGTATCGCGCGTGCCATACCGCTAACTAAATCACTTGACGTGAACGTGAAGGGACAGCTCGCGATGAGAGGGCTGCGGCGGTTTGACGGTGGGCTGGCTAACTGATTTGTCATCACAATCTTTAGGATAGCATTCGATTCATTTATTACAGTCTCAAGCTCGTGGGCTGCTATATCCAGAAAGCCGTATGTTATGGACTCTCTGAAGACAAAGGTGGAGCTTCCGATACTGGGGTATTATAGGCAACATCCTGACGTTTTTGTAGAGATACGAAAATTGAGACAGTGAGGGAACCGGAAAGAAAACCGTCGACAAGGCTAAAAAAATCCTTCCCCTCAACAGCAGTGATTAGGGCCGGAATAGGCAGATCGAAACGGCTTCGGGTTGCAGCCGTTGTGCTCTGCTGCAGATGTTCATAGTGTACGGCACATGAGGGGCACACGCACCACCTCTCACCGATGACGGTTGATATAAGGCTGAGCAAGGCGACAGCGAAATACTTCCCGGCCTTATTACGCGAACCTATTTCGTTAGTTAAGGCTGGAGTCAGTTAGTTGTAAATTGCGTAATAGCACAGAGATGATGGAACGGATTTCGGTTTTTGTACACTAATACCGCCCCTTTGTAGCTTTTGAGCTACTCAAAGGGACAGGGGGGAGAGAGTGACGTTGAAGTGGTAAGATTCGGTATGACCTTATTGGGAAAGTCTATCCCCTAGGAAAAACCAACTTCATGAATAGTTACAAGTCCTTGAGAAACCGGAAGGTTGTACCTTTTACTCGCTTTTTCAATCCAGTTGGTAAGAAATCTACAGAAATTTTAAATTACACTGGTGTGCAAAACTTAAGGACGAGACAGATTGATGAAGTATCATAACCTTTTCTTAGCTTTGTGGACCGTTTAACGGTTCCTGTTAACTGCTTTCTTTAGTGCCCTGTGGCAGCTCTTTGTATGTGTGGTTAGGTTCCATAGAGTCATGTTACGCGCCAGTAACACGTCGTTGGAAAAGCTACGTTCGTCCCTAAGTTTTGCACACCAGTGTATATAATAAAAGTAGGTGAAGGGAATTGTCCTGAGATTGGAGATTTCTATTAGAATATTTTTCGAAACATTTCCTTTGTATATGGTCAAAGAGGTGATCAGAATCAGTTGTAGTGCGTGAACTCGTTTGAAAGAGTAATTTACGATAAGAGCGAAGATCGGAGATGGGGGCATTGCCATAGTGTGGGAGAGGCGGACTTCTGAGGTTGGCTGACGAGCACAAAATTTCGACACGTAAAGGATTTGGCATTCGGCGATCGAGCATTGCTTCATCTTATAGCGCGGTTGGCGTGGGCACGCCACTGGCTCCATGGTCGTGGACAGATTTTCCTTAACCACCTCATACTACAATATGTTTATACTCTTTGATACCCTCTCTCGGCCTGGCCGAGTGCCATGCTTCTCTTCCTTATTCTCTTCCTTCCTTCCTCTTCCTGTTCTCCTCCTTATCTTCTGCTTCCCTCCCTCTACCGCCCGCCAACTCGGTGTCAGGGCAAGCACCATGATGAATAAGGACTGAACTGTGTGGATTTTGGTGTTTTTGGAGCCATGTGTTTGGTTATACATCCCAAAGGTTAGATTATACAATCACATAAATATTCATTCCTCTGAAGAAGTGAATCGTTCTCTCTCATTCTCTGCACTATTCCCTACTGATACCTCTCGTGAGAGTTTGAAGCTCCCCAATGTTTTCCCTTCTTTCTCTCCCTCCCTTCCCTTCTTTCTCTCTCCCCCTCCCCTCCCTTCCAGCCTCCCTTTCTTGCCCCTTCCCTCTACCCCTCCCACCCTCCCGCTCATCCGGCTGCCACGGCAGCACCATGTAGAATGAGACTGAGTGTGCTCGATCGGTGTTTATATAGCCGCTGTGGGGTTTATCATGATCATGACATCAACATCACGAAGTGTTGCCCTTCGTACTCCCTGGTTTTTTGAACGGATTTATTACGCACACACACCGACAAACCGACACACCAAAGTTCTGGTTTTTAATGAAGTGATTTTCGATCTAGAAATAAATTTTTATCACAAGAGTTATGGAATGTTTATTGTTTATTAACCACCTTCATTTGAAAAGTGCATCACAAGATCCTGGGCAAGCTTTAGTGAGCGATCTTCCTGCCGTACTGTGGCACTGAGTTAAGTGGCATCAAAACCTCACTTTGAATTCTGCTTGCTCATGGGTTTTTTCCTTCACATTGTTGCAAAACAAGTCCAAATCGATTGATTCTTGAGGTTACGGTGTACACGTAGAGTAATTTGAATTCAGTGACTAGGGGTTATTAACTACAGGAATGTGCCTTTTCTGGGACTGTTTGATCGGGGCAGGGGAAATGGGAATGCGAGCTCATCCGGTTTGGCCACGATTGGTTCTGCTGCTACTGGAGGAGGTCCGCCGAGGAGATTCTCGACAACCTGCGATATGGTCATCTCTCGATATACGTTGGCAAATTTGCTCGACGGCGACTCGAAGGCCTGGTCGTCCTCCATCGTACCACCCACCGGAAACAGCACACGAATCGCTCGTACATCGTCGTCGCCTGGAAGCAGTTATGACAGAACTCAAAAATCAGGGAGGAAAGCTTTCAACATTTGGTCCAGGAACTTATTGGATACTCAGTTGTCAGAAGAGAGCTAAATTTGGAAGTGCAATGCTGCTAAGGGATGAACCAGGATTTTTGACTTTTTTTGTTTGTTAACTGCTGTTTTTGGCCGCAGTTCGCCTTGCGAATGTTTCACAAGAATGCTGGGTTGTGAACAAAACTTTCGCCCCAGGCGGGACTAGAACCCGCACCTCTTGCTTTCCGGGCAAGTGCGCTACCAGTTACGCTACCGGGGCACCATTTCATCCACCTCAGCTTTTTTCAACCCAACTTTCAAAATTCAGCACTGAGACTGTTGAATAAGAGTTCCCAAGAATGTTTTACTCGGTTAATGGAGTTAACAATGCGTCTCTGCCCTAGGAAATCTAATGAAGTAAGGAAGTTTCGATTGCAGTAGCTAGCGATAAGACCGTACTTTTTGTAACACGATGCCTTGCCTTCTCATTTCTCAGATCATTCGCCTCTGCCCGGCTACGTATGCTGCAAAGGTATTACCGTTTTATTCCCTTCGTTCTTGTAACTGAATATTGTCTATGAAATGGAAGGCTTCACCGCCTTCGACGGATTCTGATCGAGAGCACTTGAACACAAGGCTTGCGCGTGGCAAGCAACCTCAGTTGCCACTACACAATTTCTCCATCGATACTTTCTCCCGTTCGGCTGGCTTTGCTACGCAGCAAAGGCCCTAGGGTTTGAAACGCTGGGTCTGACCCGCCAAACGCAGTGAACCTTGGAAATTATAACACCCTCGACCTACGAGTACGATTTTGAAATGGATTTCCGACTGCAATCCTCAGAGGGCGGCAGAAGGAATGAGCCTGATGCTAATTTCATGTCTTTTACGGCTACAGCCGCCGACCGCTACTATTGTCTAGTCGGTAAACATTCCATGTTATGTTGTATGCTAAGAATTCCAGAGTTACCGAGTGCGAAGTCAGGATCGTAGGGTCGTCTGGCGGAGAACATCACCGCACGTGGATCCACGGAGTGCTCCAGTCCCAATAAATGACCAATTTCATGCACAGCCGTCTGAAAGATGAGCATTCAAAAATGCAGTTCTCCTTCAAGTCATGGTCAAGTTTACTGAAGCTCTCGATATTTAGTACTTCTTCACGTTTCCTGCAGCAAATTTTCTACTTGGCCTCTACTTAAAGGCAAAGTTTAGAATTTCTGGTCGAAATTAAGGCTTTTATCCAAGAAAACAAGTAGTTAGCATACGGTGAGGGTGTACACAAATTTTGGAATGATTTAATTAAGAGCTGGAGCGCTAAGGCCGGATGCCCGATAGGAGGCCATAGCGCGGCGAGAAGGCAGAGACGCAGACGGGTTGGCAGATAAGTCGCAGCGGTCTCAGGACATCTGTCAACCGCGAGCCTTGGCAGTTCAGCGTTTTGTAGTGATGTCTGGGAGCTCTCACAAGTGCACACTATCACAGCATCTCCTCTTTCTTTCATCTCTTCAAAAGGTCTTCCCAGATCCCCCCCCACTAAAAAAGGCTTATATTATCCTTGTCGACGGTTTTCTCTTATTTTTCATTGGTTACAGGTTACACCTCAAATCGCCACTGTCACCTAGCTTGATTCCTGGACTTGGCCTTTAAGTGATGAAAACTGTTAGAAGCACATTCCACGATTAAGTGAGGTGGTCATTGATCTCATTAGTAGAGTGGAGATGTCCAGGAATGCAGAATATGTGCCATATTTGCGACTCAAAACGCGTGCTCAGAGCATTAGGGCCTTCTCATTACGCTGTTGCAGCTGTTCAATACAATGCTCAACACTTCACCCTGTCTGCGTCTCGCACTTTCCTCATGCTCCCTCGTCTGTTCTCTAACTCGTGGCACCAGCGGCTACTTGTCGAAGGATCCCGCCGAGGCCCAACATAAGGCCGTCAATTTAGGTGTTTCAAACTACAGTATCTTTTTATTTGTTGTTCACTGGCGGTTCAGTTTCGCATTATTACTTTCATTTTCGATCAAAATAATCGCACCATGGTTCATCACAATAGTATGATGAGAGTGGTACACTCTTGCAGAACAACTGAATTCTTTCAAAAATAGTAAAAAATTTCTTTTAGGAATTTAGGGAAGCAATCTCCTTGTCAAATGAATCAGACAACCTAGTTGTTGGTTGTCTGATTCATTTGATACGGAGATTGCTTCCCTGAATTCCTGTAATGGCATTTGTAGGAACGATGTTTGTTCAAGTAGGGGTCTACAAACATTGCGGGCAACAGCTGTAGCGACCGTTCAACTACTGCCCTCATGGCTGTCATTCGGGGTCCTCACACGGACATTCTAGGGCATTTTCTAACAGTGGAATTGGAATTACGAGAACTTTGCATGCAGGGATGTCATATCATTTTGGCTTGCCTTCCCACCACGTAACAGAACAGCTTCGCGAATAGCTGAGATAGCTGTGCCTATATTGTTCCGTTATTCGAAAAAAAAACTCTCTAGTTGAGCTGGGAGTTCCCTACAGAATCGATGCACGCTGAGAGGTGCTACGGTACGGCTGGAAAGACAGAAGAGCCTGACGCTTTTCGCATAAGATGCTGCAGATTTTTTCTACCAGTTTTATGAAGTTCTCTATTAAAAATAGAAAACACCGAATTTTCGACAATTTTTGACCGGGTGTTTGATCCCAAATCGAACGCTTCACACTTTAGTTGAGCGTTCACCTCTTTTATACATCGGCTAATTACCGCAAGACTTGTCTGGGAGGATGAAAACACTGATTTATGGGTCGTCTGGCCTTCGCAGTCTGCTGGATACTGAAAATGCATTTGAAAAGTGACAACGATTCTAAATAGAACTACAATGTAATGCTCTTTCGAGGAGAGAAATGCTTTTTCCCTCTCTTTTGTTTTTTATCTTGACTTTTCTTTTTTTTTCCTTACTGCAATTTTGAAAAAAAAACCCGGTCAGTTTTGGGGAAGCTTAGGATTACAGGTGATCATAGGTTTAGCAAATCAATCTGGTGACAGTTCTTTATCTTTACCTGGAATAGATTGACTCCTTGATCGGAGTTCAAAGTCCAGTCCTCGTCAGCATCGAAGTGCAATCGCCCGTCTCGTGGATAGAAAGCATGGGCCACAACTCCATCTGAAAGTTCACTCATTAGCTAATTGAATGCCAGGGAAGCCAGGAACGTATAGCTGTGCGCTGTCGCGAGATACGGGGACATCCCTCAAGACTACCACTGGGAGGGGCACGGGGGCCAATGAAAATTGCTCACAGAGCTGTCCCGTTTTTAGGAGATTTCTCAAACAATTTCAAATGGGCTGCTGCCACAATGCCCCCGTATCTTGTGATAGCGTCGTGTATTTTGGAATAGTCTGTTCGGCTCTTGTTTCAACGTTTCTCACGACCAAGTTGGACCGACGGACGCAAACGGCAGTCCGTGTTGCGTAATTCGAGACAGCTTGAACGGAAACCATAGTTCTTTTCCTACGGCAGCAACCTTTCTGATCATGTTTGGAAAAATTCACCTTTCAACATTTTTTAGAACTGTGCTTTCTTTGAAAACAATCGAAACACTGAACCTGAGGCAAAGAAAAATCTTGATTGCCATCGGAAATGTAAAATCTTCCACAAGATGGAAGAAATGGGAACTGTTTGTTATCGCGTTAAAATTTTGAAAATATTTGTTCTACATTGAATAATAAAACAATTTAAAAAAATAAAAAATAAAAATAATCTTCATTATTTTGCCATTGTGTAAGTCACAGCCTTTTGCGTGTTCATGAAAAAATGCGTTTTTTTCAGTTAAATATGGCTATTCCTTGGAATAGCTCAACTCCTTCCTTATTCATATCTTGCCTGATAGTTAAGTGTAAGAAGTGGTCCGGTAAATCAATAGGGACTACGGCCGACAGGTAGCAACAAAGACTTCAATCTTCTCTGTAGCGCTGCTGCTAAGGCACTTATGCCCTGGAAAAGGCAAGTGGTGAAGCATCCTTGAGATGGCTATTTGCTTTGGCGGCTTTATAGATCGGAGCAGCGATTCATCGCCAGGTGTGTACGTGGATGGCGTAATGATCCACATAAACCGGTTCAGATCGTCCAGAAAACGAATCCAAGTTGCGAAAACATTAATTGGATAGATGAATGACGATGGTCGTGTCTAGCAGTTCGTTTCCAGCTTCAAAAGAAAAAAGAAATCGAGAAATCGTTCCTCATTAAGAACCGAATTACAGTATCCGTGAACATGACCTGAAGGAGAGTGACTCGAGGGGTTACAGAAATAGCCTACCACATGTAGCACCAAGGTGGAGGCACCGAACTTCCCTATTTTCCCCTTATAGAGGAGCAGAAAAGATCACGGAAGTCGTGCTCGTGCTACTCTATTACTCTCTCTGTTACCTGATGAGATTTATTCAAACTGATATAGATTTCTCGATTAGAAAATAATTCATATTTTACTCGGATAAGGTTTTAGTTGTTTGGTAAAGTGTGTTCACAGATTTGTATTGGGGTTAGGGATTCGAAGAAGTAGTTTAGGCTGCGCTTCATTCTAATAAGATAATCAAATGTTTCAAGTTGTACTGCGACTACGATCTTTTCGGTTCCTTTAGTTTTTAGAAACAAAGTTTGCTCTCTTGTCCTTTGGAGGTCAATTCTTACCTAGGAACTAAGGAAAATCGCATCACATTTGAATTTCAAGTTGTTTTTAATTGCCGACATGGAATATTGAGAAATGAAGCGCTGTGTTCGAATAACCTCAATGGCAAATTCCTCGATAGCAGAAACCATGAGAAAAATGGAGTTCAGATATGAGGCAGCGGTGGAAATCGACTTACCTATGAAGAAAAGAGAAGGAACTCATCGAAAATTTTACAAGTAATACCTCTTTTTTCCAGGCAGTAGGGGAGTAGAAATAAGCCCAAAAGTGACTTAGCGCGGAGGTAGCAGAATGACAGACGGGGACGAGAGAGCAGATAGGGAAGCATCAATTAACAAACACCGGTGGGCGTGGTCACCTAGGGCGTCCATACTTGCAAGTTCTGAGCCCCAAGGGTCCCTTTTATGCGTTTAATACATGAAATTGGCTCTATTCTGCTGTGGAGCAGATCCAGCACATTTATTCGGAATTAGCTCAGTGATCCAATTGCGGAATGTGCCTTCAAAAATCACCAGTTACCAAGTCCATCTATCGGCCCTTCCCCTCGCCTAGACCAACATCGACGCTACCGGTGAAGCGACGTGGTTACTGCTTTTTGGTAATGCGTATCAACTTATTTCGTTATACGTTATTTCGTACCGACTGCCTGACGGGGTGGTAACTGGGGAAAAAGTGATATTAAAGATCAGGCAAAAAATGTGATCAAACTAGACCCAAAAGGAAGCATCACTAATGAGGAGTACATCAGGACACAATATATCTATCATACACAAAAATTGAGCTGAACACAACGTAACAGTATAGAATTCGCTGATAGGAGTAAGAGCATCATGGATTTCGACGTACTGGGTTATCGGTGTGTCAAATTTTTCAAAACTCCATTCTTAGCCGAATTAAGACAAAAAAGGTGAAAAAAAAACGCGAAATGGCGTTATTCGCGAGGATCTTCAAGTCTTTAGTGCAAGTGCCTTACTAGGCTTAGTTTCTATCCTGCTGAAGTTCTAAGAAAAAGAAGGTGAGCTTCTGAGGTTTCTAGGGAGATTTGATGATTCGTGACGCACTAACTTCAAGGATGAAAGGTGGAATGAAACAATTAAGTAGTTCTCCGTGAAGCAAAACGATTTCAAAGAACAAGAAAAATGAAGCAGAAGTGTTTCATAAAATTTGGAAAGCTTTATTATAGGATTCCTTAGCTACACAACCTCAGCACCCAGAATTACTTCAGAATAACATTCGTCCCTAACGTTCAACATTCCGTTCGGACGAAGAAAAAGAGCCGAATTAGTTTGAAAACTGCAGTAGACATACCTTTTCCATCGAAAGGGAACGCATCCTGATGTCTGCCGCGTTCAAAACCAATGATGATGTTCGCCGGTGGTTCTGTCACTTCTTCAAACCGAAC